ACTCACAGCATGGCTTGCAAAAGGCATGGAGGAAAAAAATACATTTAAATATCTTTCCCCCCTCAATATCGTGCAAAAGTGTGATCCTGGGCTGGCTCCTCTTTGCAGCTCAGTTGAAACCAAGCTGCAAAGAAGAGCTAGGCCCAGCTGAGGCAGCACAAAGCTGTCAGCTCTGTGCAGCCCAAGGGAGTCCTGGGCTGGCTCCTCTTTGCAGCTCAGTTGAAACTGAGCTGCAAAGAGGAGCCATTCAGACTGCCAAATCACTAGCCCCCTTGGTGATCGACTGACAAAATAATCAATATATACCAATAAGCAGGGATCGTTTCCTACCAGAGCGCCCCAGAGCGGTGCTCTGGCAGAAACGAGTCCAGGCCCTGTCCCCTGGGGGGGAATTAAATGCTTGGCTTCCCAGCCTGATCTTCTCTAGGGGCACCCGGAGAAGATCGAGCAGGGAAGCCAGGCATATCTGGCTACAGGCGGCATGTCTGGCATGTCTGGCAGCAGGCTGGCTGGAGAACAAAAGGGAGGTGGGCATCTTCAAAAGCCAAGGCGGGCTGGGAGGGGGGAAGTGAAGCGAGAAGGGGTTTAAAGTTTAAAACCCTTCTCTCTAGAGTCACGCCACAGCGGCAGCACGATCTTTCCATTGTATTCTATGGGGCCATGGAATACAATGGAAAGATCATACTGCCCCTGCGGTACTTTAAACCCCTTCTCACTTTGCTCCCCCCCCCCCGCTTTAGCAGGCCGGCTGGGGAAGGAAGGGGAGGCTTTTGAAGATGCCTCCCCCCCTTTTTTTTGCTTCCCCTTCTGACACACTTCTGGTGATGTCAGGGGGCATGGGATATGCTAATGAGTTATATGCTAATGAGCTCCTACACCTCTTTTTCTATGAAATGACCCCTGCCCATAAGACATTTATTGGGTATTTTTTCGGCTTGCTTTGTACTGAGCACACACTCCTAATGTGTATATAACTGTTTGGCTGTCTCATGTACTCATAATGATGGGATGGGTGCAATTTTAGTTTGTACTAAGCACACACTCCTAATGTGTATATAAGTGTTTGGCTGTCTCCTGTACCTGGACTCATAATGATGGGATGGGTGCAATTTTAATTTATTCAGAACTTTTATATGAAATTTCAGACTCTTATAAATCCTAGATCCTGAATCAAACATAGGTAGATGATCTGATCTTTCCTTCTCATTGATCTCAGACATTTCATCTGGTCTGGTGTGTGCTTACAGTTGTGGGTGGAGGAGCCATATAGTGCCATCCTAAGCAGACTTACATCTTTCTTAGCCCACTGGTTTAAATGGAATTAAGAGAGTGTAACCATGCTTAGGGTATAACTTATAGCTTCTGTCTCTAATCTACATATGAACTTTATTGCAAGGGTTGTATGTAAAAAGAATTAAAAACATCACTCCTTCCTCAGCCTATTTTCAGGGTAGGTGGGTTACCGGCAGAGGGACAAGGTTTTGGGGTCTGCCTCTGTTCCTTCCTCCATCTCTGCAGCTCTGACTGCCTTCCTGCAGGTGCAAGCAACATGTCGAATGATAATATTGAGGATTATCTGATCAAGCCATTTGCTCCAAATAGAAATCCTGAATGGCTTTAATGCAGATAGTGAATACTTGTCTACTCACAAGTACTTACTCCCCCCCCCACTCTCAATAATGTCTGGCAACCCATGAAAATAAATGGAACTTACAATATTATTTGTTATATTAAACTGGAGAAATACATTTATATTCAACATTATGAGAGAGAATTTAGTCACGCACTATTACTGATTGCTGCATTCTTATACAATTTGGATTTTCAAATCAAGTTTTTAGGTATCAGGCCACATTAATGATGCCCTTTGCTATGATTTTTGCAGTCTAGGCAAGGGACTGGGAACTTTCACAAGACAGTTGATTTATCAGGATATGTGTAATGGTTGCCATTGAGATGTGGCCAAACATGGCATCCCCATGATGACAATCTCTATTTGGACTTGTAACAACTGAAATATTTACCAATTGGCAGCCATATTATGCTGCAGTTCCCAACCTTCATGTTTCTGTCAGCCATGTGGATCAGGAAGGGAATTCAAAATGAAATGAACGGGAGCAAACTATGCAGTGGATTCTTGTAAATCTTTGGGATGGAGGCATCTTTGGGTTGCACTCCCAGTATAATCACAATATGTGGTCTCTGGCTCGAAGACAGCAGTGCTTTGCTTAGGAAAGTTCTGAAACCGCTGCACAAGACTGGCAACTAACACGAAACTCATTTGTCGGGGAGGGGCTAGTTCTAGCATTTGACCCAAACTCTGTTGCTTAACCATAGAGTTTTGACTGAATGCTGACTGAATGCTAGGATATCATGTAACCAGGATGCCAATGATCACCCACCATTCCCCCCTTTTCTCCCACCATCCAGCTGAACAGCAGTCAGAAGAACCAGCTGTGAGGTGGGAGGTCTCTCACCAAGTGTGAGTACCTGACAACCCTGGCCGCCTCTCCTGCGGTATCTTCATTCTGTTGCACATGGGCTTTTGGTGGTGCCTGTTTTAATGCAACAAGGGTGAGGGCCTATTCTATTGTGGCTCCAACCAGGTGCAATGCTTTGTCTGAGGAGACGCATGCCCTGCAGGACTTGTCTGGTTTCTGTATGGCATGTAAGACAGACGTCTTCCACTAGGCAGTCTAGTAATGTAATTTTGGTGGACTCTACCATCAATAATACTTTTTTAATGACAAAAACATTAATTTAATGCTGAGTTTTTAATTAGATTTTATTGAAATTATGGTGTTATTATTGTCACTGTACTCCTGTGTTGTTAGCTGCCCTGAGCCCCATTCTGGGGGATAGGTGGGATAAGATTTTAATAAAATAAAATATGTCTCACATATATCCATTGGCAAGTAGGACAATGGATTAAAAAATCATATCTCTTAACACGTGTTTGTGAAGGTATACATTTGACCAGGGCTTTTTTTGTAGAAAAAGCCCAGCAGGAACTCATTAGCATAATAGGCCACACCCAACAGTGGAAACTCATTAGCATATTAGGCCACACCCCTGACAGCACAGTTTATTGGCATATTGGGCCACACCCCCATGCCTTCCCTTGGCATGCCCGGGCATCCCACGGCTGCGGGGAGCCCGGGCAAGCCAGGCCTTGGAGGGGAGGGGAGGGAAGGCAATTTAAACTGCCTTCCCCTGGCTTGCCCGGGTGCCCCTTCCATCTGTAGCCACGCACACAGAGGTTTTGGCTGTAGTGGGTGTGGCCAACTCTGAAGCCAGCCGGAATTCCGTTCCTGTGCTTTACTGCCCAAAAATAGCCCTGCATTTGACCATTTCAGGGGGATACTACCATGCTGGCAATTTTTTTCTTGTTTTTAGCATTAAAGTGCCCTTCAAACGGCATACAAGAGCATAACATCTCAATAAAAATTCTTGGGTAAAATATAAAGAACCTTTTTAAAAAGTCAGTGAATACAAAGAGACAACAACCCCTGCAAGCAAGGATAAACTGAAATGAAGTCCTACTCATAAACAGAATAACAATGATTTGCCAATGGTATAGCCATTCACCATCCAAAGCCAGAATGCATTTAAAAAACAAGAATCACCCTTTGTTTCTGTCTCTTTGGTGTGGTAGTTTAATACATCTTTATTTAAAATCACCCCTCTAAAAAACAACCCAGTTTCTTATTTTGAAAATGCTACTTTTTTTGCCTACATACTTGCTAAAAACATACTCTAGCAAAACCCGAGGTGGCCGCAAACAACACTTCGCCTTTCGTAGTTTTACAGAGGAGGGAATTTCTGCTGGTGATGGTCTCTTGTTCTTCCCCACAACAAGCTCAGCTCCCCAGAATGTCATCTTCTACTCAACAGAATGTCATCTTCTACTCAAACTGACCCAGGCTTTCTTCTCCTATGCTTCTAGCCATAATACTTGTACACCCAAAGGAAATTTAACCGGTTGCATAGAATGCTCCTTTTTCTTTTTCTTTGCAAAATAAGAACGAACTAAAATAACCAACCACTTCTGTTTCAGCATATGCTGCTAATTCATGTTTCTTTTAAATTTAGATGCTGATATCTAATCTGCCTTACACCTTTCTATTTTTTGTAGTGTTGCCAGGTCCCCCCTAGCCACCAGTGGGGGATGGGGGTAGGGTTGCTAGATCCAGGTTGGGAAACTCCTGGAAATTTGGTGGTGGTGGACCCTGGGGAGGACCTCAGTGGGTTACAATGCCACAGAGTCCACCCTCCAAAGCATCCGTTTTCTCCAGGGGCACTGATCTCTCTAGTCTGGAGATGAGCTGTAATTCCAGGGGATCCCCAGATTTCACCTGGAGGCTGGCATGTTCATATTTCAGTTGTGTTCAGTTTCAGTTTTCTGAAAATCTGGTGAGAAGAAAAGCTGGATTCTACTGAAAGCTCTACAAAGCATTTACATTCAGCTATTACAGCGGTGTTTAGATGATTAATCCGCAGCTCTTACAACCTGATCTTGTCTATGTTTTCCCAGGAGTCTGCCTAGTAAGTGGGCTTTTCTAAGCTAGGATTTGGGTACTAACATATAATCAGCCACATTGATTGAGTCATAGAAACATAGAATCACAGAGATGGAAGGGGCCATACAAGCCATCTAGTCCAACCCCCTGCTCAATGCAAAATCAGACTACAGCATCCCTGAGAAGTGTTTGTCCAGCTGCTGCTTAAAAACTGCCAGTGAGGGGGGAGCTCACCACCTCCCCAGGCACCTGATTCCACTGTTGCACAACTCTTACTGTAAAAAAGGTTTTATCCTAATATCCATCTGGTACCTTCCTGCCCTTAATTTAAACCCATGATTGTGAGTCCTATCCTCTGCTGCCAACAGGAACAGCTCACTGCCCTCCTCTAAGTGACAGCCCTTCAGATACTTACAGAGAGCAATCATGTCCCCCCTCAACCTCCTCTTGGAAAGCAAATGTCTTATCGCAATGACTTACCATTCTGTGCATTACAGCATACCCATAGCAGGACAGTATAGCCCAGCACGTGGAACATCATCGCAGCGCTTCCAGAAGGCGCTGGCCCTTTTCAGAAAAGCTGCAGCCCTTTTTTCTCTTGCTCTCTGCTAGGTATGCTTTGCTTGACTGACTGTTCCAGCGGCTGACCTTGCTTTAGCCTTTCCTCTCCCTTCAATCACTTCCCCCTAAATCTCTTGCAACATACACAGTGAGACCTTTCTTTCTGGTCAGAGACTTATGCAAACTCGGTGGAAAATAATCCCCCAAATTTCTCAACCGGCTCTGCCCTTCCTGCTGTGTCTGTGCCCACTTCACAAGTGTGAGTAATCTCAGCCAGCAACCCCAAGCAGTGCTGTTTTCAGTGATCAACGCAAAGACATGTTGGCAAGGATCTCTCATTCTCATGCTGCGTTCTTTGAAAAAACAAACAAACCATACAACTATAGCTGTGGTTTGCATTTTCAGCTCTCAAGCAGCCACTCAGCAGGATTTTAGCGTTTGCCAATGTTTCTTTTTAAACCAGTTTTTAGGATTTGTTGAAACTTTTACCAGTCCCTGTGCCGGAACCCTTTAAAAGCAGTTTGATGTGAAGGTATTAGCAGACCATAATGCTTGTTTATGCTTTTAATAGCTTCCCTTCTTGATTTCTGCAAAGAATACTCCTGTTGAAAGCACAGAAGCTGGTCATGATTCCCCCCCCCCCCTCGATAAAAATGGTAGGTTCTGTCTTTCATCCTTTTGAGGCTGATTCTGCATCTAGCTAGCATTCGATCCACGCTTTCTCAACTGGGAGGAAAAACGCAGCTCAAAACCACATTCAGATACTTCAGGGCAACACTGTACTATCTGCAAAGTCACCCCTGAATGGCCATAAAATGGCCATAAATCTATGCAGAAGGTACAATTAAACACAAAGATCAAAGAACTCCAAAGTGGCATGGAGTGTGGAAGCTACCATAAGACCCGATAGTCAAAGGAAGTGAAACCAGCATGCAATGCAGAAGGGAATTTCTGTTCCAACGTGGGTTTCATAAAACTATGAAGGGAAAAGCCAATGCAGAATCAGCCTGAGTGAGGAGTGCACATGGACTCTGTTATGCTATAAGCATATGCACATGGTGCTGCCACATGGAGCTTCGTATCAAGAGGGGTGCAGTTCTGGTTCCAGATTCTAAAGCACAGTATCTGCACAGCATGATGGGCACTTTGACCTTATGAGAAACCAATGCTACACATAGCCAGAGGTGTCAGACCTTTTTTTCCCTTATAACCAAAACAGATCACAGAAACTTTATTTATCTCTTTCCCCCTGCTCAGCTGTGTGTGTTTTTAAGACACTGTATGAAACACAGTAAAGACATGGTTCCATTTTGGAGGGCCAAATATGTTTGTGGCTTGTCCTAGTCCACCAGGTGCAGTTATTGGGATCAGGCCAGGTTCTCCCTATACAGTTCAGAAATAGTATACTGCTGTTCAAGATGCATGATATCAAGTCAACAGGACTGTATGTATCTTTGTGATGGGAAGTATACATTCACCTTTAAACTGCTATAGGAAGGTGTCTAGAGCCTTTGTGTAATTCTTACGGTTAAAAATGTACTGTTCCTTTAAGACTTAGGCAAGGATAGTATGCTGTGGTGTGTGGGTAAACATCAGTGTAACCAGGTATGTGAGGATTCCTGTAAACTATGAAAGCTATGCGCCTGAGACCTTTTGTACTTTCAAATGCAAATACACAAGAATTCAAGTTGGCTGAGTGCACCACTAATTTTGGTGCCAATTGGCTTGGGGAGAACAGCCCTGAAGCTCCTAGCATGGCCAGAGAGTCTCCAGCAGGGCTGGTATCAGGAGGATATTTGGGGGAGTCTGGAGTGTCATGATATTCCGCTGAGGCCCAGATAGGGTTGCCAGGTCTCCCTTGGCCACTGGTAGGGGATGGGTTTTTTTTTTTTGCCAGATCCAGGTTGGGAAACTCCAGGAGATTTGGGGGGGGAGCTTGGGGAGATCAGGGACCTCAGTGGGGTACAGTGCCACAGAGTCCACCCTCCAAAGCATCCATTTTCCCCAGGGGAACTGATTTCTGTAGTCTGGAGATGAACTATAATTCCAGGAGATCCCCAGGTTCCACCTGGAGGCTGGCATCCCTAGGCCCAGCTCTTCCAGTGCAGGCCACTGCCCACCACCTGCTTATTTCCCCATTGCTCACCTGCTTGCTTGTGAGCCTACCCACCACCTGAACTCCTGGCCACACACACTGCCCAATCCTGCTGAGGGAAAGGCATGCAGGAAGTGAATGGCAGCAACATTACCAGCAGCATTGTTCCCAGTAAAATACAGTGCTTGGCACAGTGGGGGAAGGATGTAGGAACACTGGAAAATGAGCAAGTGGTTGGGGGAAAGATGGAACTGTCCCTGGTCTTGAGCCACAGTGTGAGGGACAGAATGTGCCGGGTCATCAGAAAAGTGTTTTTTGCTTTGCTTTGGCTCAGTCATTGCCTGAACCAGGAATGGATTGATTGTATCCCCCCTGCTTCTGCACCAGCAACACATGTGGCAACCAGGTTGTACAATGTCCACTTTAAAAGCAGTCCTGGTGTCAGTTTAGAAGCCCTTAAAGGAAAGGTTCCCTTGCTCGAAAGCCAGTTGAATCCGACTCTAGGGTTGCGGTGCTCATCTCCGTTTCAAAGCCAAAGAGCCAGCGCTGTCCAAAGACATTTCCATGGTCATGTGGCCGGCATGACTAAACACCAAGGTGCATGGAACGCTGTTACCTTCCCACTGAAGTGGTACCTATTTATCTACTTGCATTTTCTTGCTTTCGAACTGCTAGGTTGACAGGAGCTGGAACTAGAGATGGGAGCTCACTCCGTCATGCGGCACACTCAGATCTCGAACTGCTGAACTACCGACCTTCCACAGCCTTCAGTTCAGTGTCTTAACCACTTGAGCCACCGCAGCTCCTAGAAGCCCTTAATATCACAATTAAAACAGTCAGACTGGAAAATCATTGCAATAATTATTTCCATTGATTTAAATGGGAAATACATTTCCTCCTGTAAAGTCCCCTCGCCATGGCCCAAACGGGATGAAATTCTTATATAAGTTATATCTAAATCAACTGCCATGTGTGAGAACTTTTATTTCTGTTTCCTTGAGGTCTTCAAATGATTAGTGCAAATAGTGGGTCTGTCTGTTTTTAAAGAACAGTGGACCTTGGGAGCAACAGGAGCTAAACTCTGTCCCTCCCATTGACCTTGCTGTGTTCTGATACTTTAAGCATTTTTCTCTCATCCCGGAAGCAAATATTGATATAGGAATGGGCAGGACCCCCAAATTAGACTTCTGTTTAGGAACAGAACCTTGCCCCTGCATTTCCTACACATGAACTGGAGGGGGTGCCTTTCTCCCCACCACCACTACTTCACTTTGCATTCCGAAGTTTAAAGCGGTGAATATCAATCTTTTTGAAAATGCATGGGAAACAAGGTAATAATTATTCATGGGGGGATCAACGGGAAGATTTCTCCTCCTGAAATTTCTTTTGGAAGTTACTCCAGGCTCTACTTCCTCCTCTGACAGGCAATGCCACTGATGAGCGTAGCCTAGCCTCTTGCCTCTGCCACACTGCCACTTGCCAGGTCTGAGTTAAGTACCCTCTGTGGGTTGCCAGCACCACTGTGTCTTAGCACAAGCTATTCCTGGCCACCAGAAGCCCTACCGGACAGTGGCCCACTAATTTACTTTCCCCGTAAATAAAGATCCAAGTTTCTCTTAAGCATCAGGCATCACAGAGCATGGCTGTAGCACCCCCCCCCCCAACACCTGAAGTCTGATGGGTGGCCATTCAAGATGAGGTCTCCTTATTGGTACTATCTAGAATTTGCATTCCAGTGACACCCTGCCTCCCTGCTGGAATGAGCTCCAGTCTGGACATGGCAGATCAGATTCGCTCTCTGAAACTTATCCCAGGGATCCCCATTGCCCATAGACTTTCAAGGGGGTGCCCTTCAAAACAACTAAGAGGAGACTGGGGATCAAATTGGGGTGTCTCAACAGAGGAGAGGACAAGGGGCCTTACAAGGACTTCTACAAGAAGGGAAGGGGAGATAGATATTTGAGATGAAATAACATTCTCTGATGTTATGTATTGAGCCTGAACTGCCCTTGCAAAAGGACTGAGCTTGGGATGCATAACAATAGATTGCTAGGATCCTAGAATGGACCGGTAGAGAGACAAGGATCCTAGAATAAACCAACTGGGAAACAATAGAGTTTAAATAGCCTATTGTTGGGAGTGGGGTGTTTCTGGATGTAACCCTTTTCAAGCATAAATACCTGGCTTTGGCCAGGGATTCCAGTCTTCTTCTTTCTCTTGCTGAATCACTAATAAACTATGAGGTGATCACTCTACGTGTCTGAACCCAGTATATTTCATCTGTGTTTAAGACTCCGTCTTCCTTTCACTTTTCAGCAGCATCGAGCTTCCCATTCCAGCTGGCTATGTGGTGGTCAGCTGCTTTTTGACCTGCTGAAATGAAGTTTTCAGCTATTCTTGGCATGAGGATTGACTGGGGAAGTCTTTTCTCGGAACTGAAAAGCAAACATTCTTCCTACAATGTTTACTAACCAAACATTGCAGCATAACAGGAAGACAGAAGTATCAGACACTGAAAAGGGAAACAAAAGCAGATTTTGTACATCCACTCCCCACATCAGAAATAACAATGAGGATGTTAATTTCTATGTGATTCCATTTTGATCTGGTTACTGATGGTTACTTCAGTTCCAATAAGGTTTTTTAAAATCTTAGGAATATCTCAAAGGACAATTAGAAATGGACATCTATCCTACTTGGAGTTTTTTTTAATAACAATAAAAACTGAACAACTTAGGTTTTTATGCAGCTGCAGACTTAACAGTATGACTTAAACCTGCTGTTCATATTTTTAAAAACTCTTTATTAAACTTTACAAACAGCTTTTTCTTTGTAAAGTGTCGTCAAGCTACAGCCAATTTATGGTGATCCCATAGTGTTTTCTAGGCAAGAGACTAACAGAGGAGATTTGCCATTGCCTTCCTTCGCATAGCATCCCTGGAATTCCTTGGTGGTCTCCCATCCAAATACCAACCAGGGAATAGGCTTGTTAC